AGATAGATAGATAGATAGATAGATAGATAGATAGATAGATAGATAGATAGATAGATAGATAGATAGATAGATAGATAGATAGATAGATGGATAATCACCTCTAGTCATGCAATTTAAATCTTGTAAATTAACGTCTTCAGCTACAGAACAAAAGTCCAGTTGCTTTGTCTTTGTTCTTTTAATTTTTTCATGTCCTGGATGAGTGAGAATCTACAGAAATATGGCCATTTCCATTTTTTTGGCAATATCCTCAACTGCCTGTCCTTTCTGGTTTTGTTCCATTACACCAAACCTCTCTATTACTTCCTCATCTTCTGTTACATTCACAAGCACATCTTGTTAGGTCAGTTGCGATCCCCGCTCTCTTCTCCCTCTCAATTCTTCTAAGTCCTTTCAGAATTTCTTCTTTTCCCCTACCTCACATCCAACGTGTGGAACATAACCACTGACAGTACTCAACATCAGACTTTCTATATCTACGTTTAGTCACATCCCCCTATATGAAACTCTTTTCACATACATTCCTTGCAAACACCTCTCTTATGACCACCCCGACTTCTTTTCTCTTCCTGTTCAGACTATAGAAAAACAGCTTAACCCCTCCCCAAATGCTGAGTCTTGCTGCCTTTCCACTTGGTCTCCCGCACAAATAATGCATTTATCTTCCTTCTCTGCATCATTTCATCCAGCTCTCTAACTTTGCCTGTTAAGTCTCAGTTTAGAGTTGCTCCCCTCTGTCTTCTTGACTTTCCTCTTCTCCCTCTGCATACATGTCAACTTGTACGGATTGTCCGTAAATTATAAGGATTTCATGTCATTTTGCAGGTATACGGACGTATAGAGCAATCTCACGGATTTTTTCAAAACCTCATTTTCAAATTTATTTAACATGTCAGAGCCTGTAGGATGACTTAAAAAACAATAATTATCATCAAATAGTCATCTTCCAACCTGTTCTGCCGCTAGAAATAAGTTTTGAAATTTGTCCGCTCCCCTTTGCTCCTGCTTCACAGCAGGCGTTTAATGTCCACAGCCGTCAGACCCCCCCAGAAAGAAAGAAGCTACATTGCCAATACAATTATTGACACTAAACTGCATAATATTACAACAATAGAGCAGTATTAAGACAATATTACAGTAAAACATCCAAATACAATCATATTAGTATTGTAAACACTGAACTATTGAGTATAAATATTAAAAAACAATATTAAAAACTATAGTGCAGTACCAAGTACAGCTGGGTGCAGTATTGGACCATTACAAGGCACCATTGACTCCCATTATATGAATTAGGAATAAAGTTTAAACATTAATATTTCAAAAACTACAAGTGGTACAGGCAGCAACAGGCAAAACAATCATTTGGCACGAGACCTTTACAGATAGAAATTACAATGGCAGCTGTAGGACAATG